TGGAGTCTTTCTGACCTATAAGATCTAGATAGACTCAAACCTCACTCCTAGGACTGGTGATCCTTCAAAGCCTTGCCAAAAGCTTGGAGACTTAGACGCCAGAGGCCTTATTTTTCTCCTTTCTTACTTCTGATTCTAAATCACGTTCTGGCCCACTGTGCCCATAACAAGTCCTACATTTAAAACCACTTCCCCAAGGCATTTGCTGATAAAGCCCACTTCCCTGAAGGTTTAGGGGAATGAGAGAAAGATTTACATCACGGACATGAAGCAAGTTAAAGTTAGATACTGGATGGACCTACTTTTCAAAAGTCCTGGGCTTTTGTTGCAAATAAGTTCAACTGAGACTTCTTCCTTTTCTCGTTTGCTTCCCTCTCTTCTTTTTTTCAGGGATTTCTCTCTTTTCTCTGGTACTTCTCTCTCAGGGTGTAAAATCAACCTTTCCCCAATTATTTATTTATTTTTTAATTAAAGTTTTAATGCCAAACCGTCAAGTTCTCACCAGATCCAGTAGCCAAATAAAGTCTGCTGCTTCCGTTTACATGTTCAAGGAAATAGTCTAGTTAGATGTAACTCCCTGTGAGGTTAGATTCTTGGATACTGACAGTCTTTCTCCTTCATCTCTGTCTGGAGGTGAGCATGGAGGTGGGGGAGGATGGGTGCATTCTGGGTACCCTGTGCAGAGGAAAGGTCGTAACTATGGCTTTAGGCCAATCAGGGCTTGAATTTTGGCTTCTCCACTTCCTGGCTGTGTGACCTTGGGCAAGTTACTAAACTTTCCTGAGCCTGTTTCCTTTTCTGTAAAGTGGGGATGATATTACTTTCTTGCAAGCTGTAGAAAGGATAAGATTGAATGACACACAAGTTGTGGGCGGGATAAAATGCAATAAAACTTCTAAAGCACGTGCCTCAATGCAGGCACTCAACAAACGTTACTTTCCTTCCTTTACAAACGATAGACACTTTCCTTGAGGGTTACATATGTAAGCATTAAATATTTAAAAATTGCGTAATTAAAAAAAAACTTGCAAAGGAACCTTACTTTGGATTTTTTTGATGAAGCAAATAATTATCCCTGCTTGTCTTTGTTGCAAATCTGTATGTTTATATGCAACCCTGGGTCTCCTAAGGATGTTTATGTGTAATTCTCAGCACAGCGAGACTTGATTGAAACCAAAATCTTTTGGCAGCTTCATGGAAGTTGTAAATATTAGATATTGGTGGTGTGATTTGAGGCCACCTAAGAGACTGGGACTAGAGCTGTCCCTGAGGGGTCATTTCCAGGTGGGCCCATTAGAGCTGAATAGATAATGAGGGTAAGAATACCAGTCAAGTCCTGTGGTTTGGTCTGAGGGCACTCAGAGCATAGTGAAAATGGATATTTTACCAGCAGAAGGGACCCACCATCTGTCTTCTCTCTAAAGCAGGAGAGCATTGTCCCCACTGGATAAGTGATCGTTGTCAATTAGGGCGGCAAGACACATCCATGCGGCTGGATTTTAAATCCTGGGGTGCCAGGGTTTATGTTAGAAACTGGCCAGTGTAATGTTTTATGATCTTAGAGGCAGGAAAGAATAAACAAAAGACTTAAACAAAAGAGATATTTTTTTCTGTTGTCCAGTCAGTTGTCTCAGGGTTTTGCCAAATCCAGCCAATAGCTTGGTTTTGTACAGCCCTCATGCTAAGAATGGTTTTGCATATTTAAAGGGTTGTGAAAAGGAAAGAAAGGAAAAATACACAACAGAAACCATATGTGGCCCACAAAGCCTGAAATATTTACTATCCAGCCTTTTATGGAAACGGTTCCCGATCCTTGGTCTAAAGAGTTTGAAGTCTCTCAGATTAATGAAGGCAAAATGTAACTAACACTGATTGATTTTTTAAGTTATAATCTCATTTGTGGCAACCACTGCCTGCCTGTCTTAACAAAGCTTAATGGGCATTATTTCGGATAAACATAATCTCATTTCAATATTTAATTGTGTCTGGTGATATCCACATGAGGTTATTACAGTTTTGTCCACAGAATGGAGTCTCTGTTTGTTGTTTTAGAGGTAGTTCGTATTTCTGTCACCTCCCTCTGAAGCCCCCACCTGTCACTTCTCCATAGGTTACCTGGTGGAAATCTCTTCCTGCCGTCTTCCCTGGCCTGAAAGAGGTTGGCAGGGGCCAGCTCAGGAAGGGCCGCTGAGGAATTTTCCACCTCATTCTGTGCACGCTGAGACTAGAGAAGGATTTTCAGCAGGGGAGTGTGTGGTCAGAAGCCAGTTAAATATATGTGGTGCAGAAGTCCAGGCCTTGGGATGGGGGCCTCTGTAGGGGCTGCGATGCACACATTGAACCTCCTGGAAGAAGCGGGACCCAGATTAGACCCTGAAGGAGGAGCACACTGGTGGGGGGGCAAAGCCAAGGTCCGGAAGTGTGAGGGGATGTCTTACAGAATGTAGAGCGTCCTGCCCGGGGCTGGAGGCTTTTTCAGTAATGTGGGATGAGGTTGGATCATCAATGTGGCCAGATTATTGGGAATTTTAAGGTGTATGGAATTTCAAATCCAGTAGCCAGTGAGGAGTCACTGTCATTTATTTTAAAAAGGAGCAGTGTGTGTGTGTGTCCATGTGTCCATGTACTGAAATGACAGTCATGAACTTGGCTACTACTTGTTCAGCCCTGGCCCGGGGCTGGCGCTGGGCAAAGTGCATCACATAGGTCATCTCATTCAATCCTCACAACAACTCTGTAGGGGAAGGTATTATTATCCTCAGTTTGCAAATGAGGGAGCCTGGGCTCAGAGAGGTTATAATAACTAGCCCAAGGTTTTGAGGTGAATGATGGGCAGAGTCATGACAGTGACCAGGAGCCCAAGCTCTTAACTCCTGAAACAAGCTCAGTGTAAAATATTCTAACAAAACAGAAAGGAGAAGAGTGAAAAGGAACGGACGTCCTGCCTTCCAGGAGTGACCACTGTGGGTGCCAGTCCTCTTAGGCATCTTTCTATGTATGTGCACAACAAGATGGATGCGTTTCGTGTAAACTGTGCCAGGATTGCAATAAATTCTGTGCCTGCAAGTTTTACATAAATGACAACATACTATATATCTAGTTTTTTCCCATTTAAAACTAATCTTCTGATTTTCTTAAGTAAACATAGTGTTAAAAAACAAAATTCAACTGAGTGGATTTAAAGATCTCATTGGCTTTATTCAATGGTTTATGACTCGGGCAGCATCTCATCCAGCTGCTGGAGGGGTGCTCCGAGGGGCTGTGCAAAATGGAAGGTTTTCAGCAAAAGGGAGGAAAGGATTATTTTTAGGTCAGGATGTGGGGGAAGGAATAGCAGGGGTTTTATCACACAGATTGCCTCTTCTTCCTCTGCGGAATGGAGCAGGGCCCATGAGACAGATTACCTCATTAGTGCTGACCAGAAAATGCTGGACTGCTGGATTAAGATTACATTTCTGGATGCACCTAGAAGATACTATATTTAGCAAAGTAACTCAGACAGAGAAAGACAAATACTACATAATATCACTTATATGTGGAATCTAAAAATTGTACAAACGAATCTGTATACAAAACAGAAACAGACTCACAGACACTGAAAACAAACTTATGATTACCAAAGAGGAGAAGGAGGAAGAGCAGAAGGAACAAGTCAGGAGTATGGGATTAACACATACAAACTACTATGCATAAAATAGATGAACACAAGGATTTACTGTATAGCACAGGAGATTGCATTCAGTATCTTGTAATAACCTATAATGGAATATAATCTGAAAGAAGTAAGTGAATCACTTTGCGGTACAACTGAAACCGACACAGTATTGTAAATCAACTATAGTTTACTGAAAGAAAAGAGTAAATATTTAATGCTGGAGAGGGTGCGGAGAAAAGGGAACACTTCTGCGCTGTTGACGGGAATGTAGTTTGGTGCAGCCATTATGGAGAACAGTACGAAGATTCCTTATAAAAATACAAATAGATTTACCATATGATCCAGCAATCCCACTCCTGGGGAAGGGATAAATTTGGGGTCTGGGATTTGCAGATACTAACTGTTACACCTGAAACAGATAAACAGCAAGTTCTTACTATATAGCACAGGGAACTGTATTCAGTATCTTGTAATAGCCTCTAATGGAAAAGAATACGAAAAAGAGAGTATGTGTATATATATACATGTATAAAAAACTGAATCACTGTGCTGTACACCAGAACTTAACACATAGTAAATTGACTATATTTCAATTAAAAAAAGACTAAATATTTTTTAAAAAGATTACATTTCAAAACTGCAGTAAAGTCAGGTATTAATTAAGTCCAGGTTTTTTTTTTTTTTTTTTTTTTTTACCATGGGCTTTAGCAGAAATGGTGCCATTTGGGCCTGTGCTCTTCTCTCTAACAACAGTATTTTACTTTATGACTGTACACTCATCCACATAACCAGTCTTCTATAGATCATTGCTGGTTCTTGGGCAAGAAAATCTTTTTCTTTTTAATTTATCTTTTTAAATTAAAAAAAATTTAAAATTGAAGTGTAGATGATTTACAGTGCTGTATTAGTTGGTGTACAGCATAATGATTCAGTTATACATATATATGTATATGTATATGAATATGTATATATGTATATGAATATGTATATGAATATATATATATATATATATATATATATATTCTTCTCCATTATGGTTTATGACAGGATATTGAATATATTTCCCTGTGCTATACAGTAGGGCTTTGTTGTTTATCTGTTTTATATGCAGTAGTTTGTATCTGCTAACCCAAAGTCTTAATTTATCCCTTCCCCGCTTCCCCTTTGGTAATCATAAGTTTGTTTTCTATGTCTGTGAGTCTGTTTCTGTTGTGTAAATAAGTTCATTTGTGTCATATTTTAGATTCCACATATAAGTGGAATTTGTAAGAGTGGTATTTGTAAGGAAATCTTTTCTTTAAAGAACTTTTTAACTGAGTCTTCTGTTTTCTCACTTTCTTTGCAGCATGCCCTTGATGCTGACAATGCAGGAGTAAGTCCAATAGGAAACTCTTCCAACAACAGCAGTCACTGGGACCTTGGAAGTGCCTTTTTCTTTGCTGGAACTGTCATCACCACCATAGGTATCCCCCCATTTGCTAGAATCTTTTCCTCTGCAGGCCCTCCTGAGTAATGGCACTAAAATCAATACTTTGTCCTCATAGAGTACATGGCGGCTGGAGGTTCAAAGGAGGCTTATGAAACATTGTCAAATTAATGGAGTAGTTGTGTGGTGGCTTTCAATAGAAGGCAAAGCAGGATGAAGGATTTCATTTTTCAAAATGAAAGACCAGGGAACCTTTAGTTTGAAAGGACCTCATTGAAAGGTTAGAGTAAAAGATCAACCTCTGAATTGATCAGTTGAACTCAGATGCTCAGTTAAGCTCAGATTCCTTCTTAAAAAACTACTTTTTATTAAAGTTATACATAAAAGGACCAAACTGTTCTACAAAGTTTGTTATGAAGAACAATGATCTCTGTCCTTCTTTCTACTTTTTCACCTCCCCTGGGGAAACTGCTTTCATCTCTTCTCCTTGATTATTTTGATACTCAACTTCATGTCTTCCAGTCACACTTGTATTGCACTTTCTGAGTTTTGTTTTAGAGATGATTTCTTGACTTCCCATTGTGGAAGATGAGGAATTAATTCTCTTTCTTCTTCCTTGCCGCACTGTAGAAGGGCTCTCTTCCTGTCCTCTCATCTTCCCAAGATAGTTCAATTAGATCAAAAGTGAATGTTTACATTATTTTGCTAGGTAAATGCTCTTCACAATTGATCATAAGATGATCTATGATTACTTCTTCCCTGCACCAATGTTTGTCTTGTATTGGTGTGTGTCTTTTTTTCTAATATTTGAGGAGTTTTGTATTGTTGTCATAGGGTTAATTTTATAATTATAATCATACTTAATACTCTTAGTGTTCTATTCTTTAAGCAGTATCTGTTAGTTCCCTGTTATGGGTGATGACATCTCCTCTCCCTCCACCACACAATTTTCACTGACACCATTCTTTTAATGTTTGCTTTTACATTGTTAAATATGCTTATGTTTCTAATTAGATGATCTGCCCACTTCAAATAAAGAATCTTGGCTCTCAGCTATTTCATACAACGCAATCAGGGAACTTACTCAGCATCTCAACTTCTTTTCCTCTTCCGCTATCAGTGATTACTTACTGTATCATTCTGTAACATCAGGGTATATATTTTACATTTTATTCTATTACCTGGATACTCGAAACTGTTTTAGTCATAGTTCTATATTAAATATCATCAGTGTTCATCTCTAGTCATGGTTTTCGTCATCATCACTTGCTTGACTGAAACCATCTTCAGGTAGTTGCCTTAAGAGTGGCTCATGGGAGCCATATTCCCTGGGTTCTCATGTTGTTCAAAATGGTAGCCTTATACTTGAAGGGCAGTTGGATGGAAATGAAATCCTTGACCAACATGTTCTTTTTTAAGGATCTTGTTGGTGTTACTCCACTTTCTCTCAGTGTTTATGTTGCTGTTGCTATGGGAAAACCTGATGCCAGCCCAATTTTTTCCCCATTTGTAAGTGCTTTGATCTTTTTGCTCAGCTGCTCAAAAGATTATGTCTTTATCTTTCATCTGATAATACTACCAGGTTTTGTCCCTTTTATTACAGGAAAACTTTCCTGATTGTTATCTTTAAACATTTTCTCTGCTGTATAGTTTTGATTGTGATCTTTGGGAATTCCAATTATACATCTATCATCACTTCTTTGCCCATCTTCTGTGTCTAATATTTTTCTTTTACTCCTTTCTAACCCTTAAAATTTGGTTTTTAATTTGTTGATTTTATCTTTTCTTCTCCTTGTGTTTTGTATGTGTTTTTTTCACAGTGCCTACTCAGCCATGTGCTTCTTCCAATTTTATTTTCATTTTTGTGATCATTAGGGGACTTTTTTCTTTCCTATTTTTTTTTTCCTGAACTCCATTAGCTCAGCTCACATTTCATCTACACTTGTTATCTCACTATTTCCTCCTTGATTTCTTGTATCTTTGTGGTTTCTCTGTGATGATTCTTAGCAGTGATTACTTCATAGTTGTTTACAATTTTTGTCTGGTTGGGGCAGTGTTTTTCTGCTGAGTGTCTTTCATTCACTGGTAACTTTTGCTGCTCTTTCACACTTTTTAAAAATGGAAGCTTTATACTTATGCTGGGTCAGTTTCTTTTTAAAATACATGATGCCAAACAAACTGGATATTTCTGGATCAGCTATCTGCTGAATGTTCCTGTAGGGCTGGGGAGAGGAGAGCAGGAAGAACAGGTAATCTTTCAGGCACATCCCAAGAGTCTCCTCTTTCCTGCTGCCAAAGAAACAGAGTGCTTCCTGAAAATATGGCCCATCTGTGTTATTCTCTGTGTAGTTCTGCTTCTGTTTTTCTGGACCAGATCAAGCTCAGGGAGTCTTCTTCTGCTATCTCTTCACCCTATATTCTACCCTTGGTGCAAACAGGAGTATCTCTTTTGATGTGCAAGGTGAAACCTTCACTTTCATTAATTGGATTTTTGCTAGAACTTTTGGAGATTTGCCACTGATGGGCCCTTTCATCATTCTCTGTGCTGCTGCTTTTTATTTTTTCCCATGTTGCTTCTGTCTAATCTCAGCTTCTTTTGGTAATCCTGACATTTATGTTGGAATCCATAGATTAAATACCTCTCCCAGCTCTGCTGAAAATGAGTTTGAGAGTTATCTGCTCCATACAGTAGTGAAGTCAAACTACAATAAAAATTCTCGTTCAGAAGAATGGAGACACACAGCAGTCACCAGTTCATAGTAAAGATGGACAGACAGTGGGAGGCCTTTATGCACTCTAAGTAGGAGGATTCCTTCATTAACAATTGTTTATATTCTTTGGGAGGAAATCCCTCATCTTTTGTTCTCTGAGGCCCAGCTATGGGAGGCCTTTTCCTCTCCCTACTTTTCATAACCACACATTAAGTGGATTTTAGACAGTATGCCTTTTTTAGGGGGGGATGCACATATTTGATGATTGATTTCCTACTGGTGCATGTTTCAGAAGCTAAGGGTTGTTTTAGAGGCACAGGTTTTTGTTTTTGGTTATAGACATAATCTTTAGGACCTGTGTTCTTTCTATATTGATACAATCAAGAAAGTTATGAGAAAGTTTAAATTAACTTATAAAAAGTTATAAGAAAATTTGGAATAAAAGGGGGTTGTCATTGTTTTTTTAGAAAGCCTCTTAATCTAATTATATAATGTACTAGGTTCATACTTGCAAATCTGTGAATATGTTAAGATCAATTATTACAAGTATTAGAGGTCTGTGTTACACTAGTGAGTCTGCGGCTTACACTCCAGACAGGATTAGGTCATATTAGTCCTCAATCCCACAGCACCCAACAAAGGAAGCAGGGTGACGTGACACCGTTTGATAAAAGGGCAAAAAGTGCTATGCACCTCAGCATCACCTGAGAGCATCACTGCAGTAGATCAGAGACGACCAGTGTCAGGTTAAATGGTGTTCAACGGTCTGGTTACTGAGATGGGGAAATGTGTCATATGCTTTAGGGGGATTTACAGTAAAATAATTAAAATTGAGAGAGTCTAGGCGACTTCAAGAAGTACACTTTGGAAAATGTACTCCAGTACCCAGTATTGGATCCATGAGACAGTAGTGTATATTAAAGAAGACAGAAAAAAGAAAATTCTAATATTCTTATTTTTATAAAATGGCTAAATCAATGGTCTGTATGATGCATTGAAAAACACTAGAGCTACACTGTGATGTTTGCTGGTTTGTTGTGTTAACTTGTTAGGATCCCAAGGGCTTGGTGTATTGAACAACTGTGTTCATTGACCCACATGACGTTATGCAACTGAGAAATGGTGGTTCCATCTGCCTAAGGAGGAATATATATATATATTTGATATATAACATTTTCTGCCTTTTTAAGCATGCTTACATTGGAATCTTTGAATTTGTACAAATGACATCCTTTCACTTACTCACTCTTGTCCTAATAACCATTTTCCAATGGTACTCTTTCCCGTATTTGGCCCCCAGGCCTCAGGGGAAGAATCACCTTGTCTAAACTAAGAAATCCAGTATCTTGTGTGTGTATGGCCACAGTCCTGTGTTCAGAGACGGACGTGAGATCTGGACTAGGCCAATAAGCAAGTCATTTCCTGGGCTTTTGCTTGAGATTTGGAGGAAGTGAATTCTCTTTCTTACTGGAGGTAAATCTGGAAAAACATAAGCCCAGGCTCCCCAGGACCCTGCCATTCATTTTCTTCCCTCAGTAGGTTGATTTGCCGGGAATTCAGCTAACAGTAAAGAAGCAGAGTATGAAAAGAGGGGTGATAATTGGGGTTCAGCTTACATCCTTTGAGCTTGGGATGAAGCTACCCATGGATAGTTAAGAAAGAAATATTAAATCTCCTGCTATTTCTGGGGCCTATACATTTCCTTTTTCACCGACGCGCGTCTGCATTGGGTTTTCTCTCGCCTAGGACTGAAAAATCCTAACTGATACACACTTATGGATCAGAGATCACAGAGAACCAGTAAGCGTCCTCTGACCTCCCTAGCCAGTGCCTGACCCTGCTGGCCACTGCTGCTGCCCATCTCCTTTGGGCTACTTGCTTCTTTGTTTAAAGTCTTAGACATACCTTCCTATTCGATGAGCCTCAGGGGTCGTGTGCTGGTGTCCTGGCAACCTGGGAAGCTGTTGCCTCTACAGTGGGAGGCAGGACACTGTGTCTTATCGAGGCACAGAATGGGGACCTTTCCCAAAATCTGAAGGCAGGTGGAGGCTGAACAGGAAACTACTACAAAACAAACACAAAACAAAAACAAGCAAAAACAAAAACAAAAACAAAACCCAACCCAAACCCCAAGTCCAATTCAGCATCGTGGCTCAGTTTTAGTGTTAGAGATTGGATCCTCTTCTATTCAAAGAAAAAGTGCAATTTTCTCTCTCACGCTCTGTCTTAATTGAAAAATAACGTGTCATGAGTTGAACACCATTTAGCTGGCTAAATTTTAACTCCAGGTGGAGGCTCTTTAGAAAGTCATACAATTAGAGATTTCTGAAGAAAAACATTAGTACAATGTTAGTAACTAGAATAATGAGTGAGGAAATAATGTTTTTTCTCCCCTCAGTTATTTAGTGGTAAATTCATTCATCACAAGTCGTAGTGAGGTTTATAAGAGAACTTAGAGCCTGCTAATTCTTCCCGTCTTCCTGAGAAATTTCCTGTTATTTAGGACTCACGCAGTAGAGCAGCTGCAGCGGAGGAACTTTTGCATTATTGGTGGAATACGCCAACATTAGCCTGCCTGCTTGAGTTCCTATAATGTGCGACACGACTCTGTAAACATTTCCCCGTATTACTGAGGTTCTTTGAAAAACACAGTCTTTGATGGAGTCTTGTTGGATCTACTATCAACGCTGTAACCACACGTTGTTGGAGGCTTAAGAGGTTTTTGCTTTTGTGGTAGTGTAACATCATGATAAAGATCTTTGTGCACGCACCCGTGATCTTTGCCTCTGGTTCTTTCCTTGGAAAGATCCCCCAGGGACTGCTGTGTCTAGGGGTCTGGACCTTTTAAAGCCTTGCCAGATTGCTTTCTAGAAAGACTCTCCTGAGCCGCGTGAGGTTATGTACTATTGAGACACGAAAGATGTGTTCATTATTTAGAACGTGGATTGAGAGAGCTTAGGAATAATAGTCTTTTCCGAAGAGCAGTGATACTGGTCAGTATCAGAGGCCCCTTTTGTCTGGAGATAACAAGGGTTTTACCTGTGCTCAGATAGACAGAAAGATCTACCAGAGTGTGGCTGAAGAGACTACATTCAGGCTCTTCTCCAAACCAGGGGCCATGCCAGGAGGAAGGCTAGCCTGCTGTCTTTGTCGAGGTCACCCTGCACCCTGTCCCTTCCCTCAGTAACGAATTCTGATGGGTTAAAGTCCCACCAGCCTCAGTTGTTGACTCTGCTGATAGCAACTGGTTTTTCTAAGCTGGACGAATGATACTATGTGTGCAGATTCTTGCCCACAAACCATCACTTGTGAAAGGACTGCAAATGATTGCACTCCTACCAGCCACTATGGAGCACAGTTAGATTTTTGTCTTTGAGGCGGGTTTGGATTCAGTCACCTGACTCTACCCACATCAGATGGGGCCCCCGGTCAGGTCTCAGATGGTAGCCAGTGACCATGTTACTTGCCTGGTGGCCTCCATGAAGAATTGTACCTGCCATGGTACCGAGGCAACTATTTCTACTTAACCAGCACGTGGATTGGTTGCTTAGCCTATGGGTTTGGAAATTAGCGGTCATTGCGGCTAACACTGACTGAATGCTTGCTCGGTGCCAGGAACTCTGCTCCACATACATTATCTCAGTTTCACACTGACCACATGAGGGAGGGACACTTATGTGTCCATTTTACCAATGAGAAGACTGAGGCCCAGAGATGTTAAGTAACTTGTTTAATATCTCAAGGTTAGTAAGCCACAGAGCCTAGTTTTATTCACCAGGACCAGCCACATAAGGCATGAGGCTCAGTGCAAAATGGAAATGCAGTCTCTTGCTAAAAAGAAGATTAAGAACATCAAAATGGCACCAGCAGAGCATCTGACCAAGCATGGGGCCCACAGCACACCCATAAATGCACAGACAGCCTGGTTTGAGGACAGAGACTCTAAACCAGATACCAGAGCTGAACAGCACATGGTTTGGCCAGGATTTGACCTTGGCATGAAGATAGCAAATGGAAGTGTTCCACATGCGCTGCTCAGGGCTGAGTCCTCTTTAAACGGCAGCTTTCTCTTCTGAAAGGGCAGGGCTGTTTTCTAGCCAGGGGTGACCGGAGCTAAGCGCTGCCTTGGTCCCTTATCGTTCACAGCAGAATGTTCTTGCCGGGCTGGTCATCTCCTGCCAAAAGTCACCAGAAGCCCGCTGGTGGAGGAGCTCTCGGGACCTCCGCTTTGAGAAATGCAGTTCTCATATTCTGGGCTAGTTCTGCCTGACAGACCCCGTCTCCCTCTGGGGCCTCTGCTGCCCCTGGGATACTCACACCCCAACTCCAGCTGGGGGCCCACCTGCGCCACTGAGCCGGCCCAGCCTGGTCCTGGTGTTGTGAGAGGACAGTGGAGGAAACTCCACTGTTTCCTAGAAGGAAAATAGGAACCAGCCATCTGTTTTCTCTCGGGGCTCAGCTTTCCTGGAGACATATTGCTCTGGAGTGATTCCTTCCCACAGGAAACCCGGGGCAGGGTGGTAATTGCTGACACTGACCGAGTGCCTACTCTGCGTCATGCTTCATATGTGTTTAATCTCCACGGGTTACTCAGGCTTCACCGTAGCTCTTTAAGCTCTCAGGTGGCTGCTACTCACAGCCCCGCCATCCAGACAAGGAAAGCGAGGCAGAAGGGCAAATGGCCCAGGACCTGAGGGATTAGTAAGTGGAAGGAGCAGAGCAGGGGTCCCCGCATCTCTGCTTCTAGAGCCACATACAACTGTTACACCTCACTTCAAAGTTCGACCAAGCCTTCTGCAAGGATGGGCGGGGAAGTCTAACAGCCCCAGTACCACTGGAGGCAAGAATCCAGGAGTGTGTTTTTCCTGGTGCCTCAGAGCAAAGCTCCAAAATGTAACTTCTGGAATTTTCTCAGAGTAAGAGTTGAGGGTCAAACTGGAAAACAGTCTCTCCATGTAGTTCATCAGAGGTAGGAAACACAACACATACACACATACACACACACACACACACCCATGCACAAAACAGCATTACTCCAAAATGGCAGTTCCTTTATGTCTGATATGATGTGATGGCCTTAAATGTATTTAAAGACATCTTTGAATGTCACTTCGCTAACGCCCTTACCCGAGAACTCTGCTCTCATTTTACTATAGTGTTTTAGCCTGTGAAACACTGACGCAATAAGGAGCCGACTGTAATATCACTTGCATTGGTACAGTGCTTTACCGTTCATGATTTTCCCCATGTCTCCCCTGAACCCCTCCGCACTGGGATTTGGAGAGGGTTTGTGAGTCCAAGGACAACAGGGTCAAAGGAGGTAGGGCTGGATTGGAGCCGCAGCCTCTCACTTCCCTCTCGTGCTCCTTGCATGGCACTGGAACGTTCCCTGAGCACAGTCCTTCCCCAGGTGGCAGGGCAGATCCTCTCTAGAAGCTGGAGGAAAGGGTGCGGCCCTTGTTCAGGCTAATAAGATGCCTATTCAGGAGGTTTGAAGCCTCACTTTGTTTGCCTGTGTCTGCAGTGTGTTTCTGAGATATTCAGACTAAAAGAAAACCTATATCCTTTGACAGTAATTAGGCAGTTAGGAGACAGTCAAGCAAAAGTCATAAATGTTTCCACAAGTTGCCAGCATATTTCCAAGAGTCACCATAACCCTGTGTATAGGCACATTTATTCCTTTTCCAATAGGACTATGTTAATGTAAATCGGATTATTCTAGAGGGAAATGCTTAAAAAATGATTTTGTCCAAGTTCCTGAAAACACCTGAAAAAATTCTGAGAGCCTTTCGTTTCTTTTTTTTTTTTTCTTTTCACAATTAAATAAAAATCATGGTGAGTAAAAGAAATGCAAGATTAGGAAGGCTTGCCTGAACAGTCATTTAAGAAATGGAAGCTATAATTTAGATAATTTGTGATAAGAGATTTGAATGATTCTGACTGGAAAATTGAAAAGGAAAATAATCAGGTGACTCATTGCCCAAAGGCAGAAAGCAGTGAGTTCTCCAGACCCAAAGGAAGATGAATGATGGACAACCATCAACATTATCTTTACTGTGTTGCATCCCCAACACGCCAATGGCCACGAGCCCAATAACTCACCAACTGCGTGGATTTAGAAATGGGCTCCACTTGAGTTGCCGTGTATGGGAGAATAGTTAGGTGATATCTAGACTTAGCGCAGCACTGCAGCACTGACGGGTGTGAAAGTGCATAATGAGTAATTTAGAGTCTCATCTCTGTAATTTGTGCTAATGCTATAAGCCTTTTTCTCCCAGCACTACTTTCTTTAGGCCCATCACACAGAGTGAGCCAAGTCCTCACTAGACGCAAGTTGCTTACGTGATTGCAGAACTCTTGAGAATGCAGATGTGGGTGTTTTCAAAGCACTATTTGAAATAACATATTAATAGATCTGGCTATAAAAGGATTCTTTTGTAGTTAAACATCCATTCCACCAACAAACATTTATTTAGCACCTGGTGACCCTTGGTGCAAGAAGTGGGTGGGAGGAGGGATGGGACTCAGATGATGTGGCGTTTCCTAGTAAAGAATAAAAGAAAACCACGCAGCGCTGAACGTCACTGTCAGTGTGAAAAGAGGCACAAATGCTTCTCTCCCCCGCTCTTTACTGTTTTCAGGTGCTCCAGGGCAGGGCTGTATGATGCATGGATCCCATCTCAGTTTGTACTTGACCACACATCCTCCTTAATGCGGGGCACTCATCACCCCAAGAAGGCAAATGCTGAAGACAACCACAGTCTGTCAGGTGGAGGGGATGCCCATGGGATGAGGCTGTAAAGGAGAAGCTCTTTTCAAATCTAAAAAAAAAAACCAGTGACCCGTTCTTAGGGTATTTGGGGTCCCTTAACCAGACATGTCCAAGATGTTTGCTGTTTCTGAACTGGATGGCACCATTTTCTATCAGAAATGCGATTCTGGGTGACATAAATTTCCTAAAATGTCATCTAACTAAAAACATTAAGATCCTGGAAATGTGGATGCCTTTGAAACTATTTATAGGGAGAGAATGATAAGAAGCAGTGGAACAATGTTCTGAATTTTATACGGCCTTTGAAATGAAGTTCTCCCTGAAACTCATGAGGTCGGGGGGATGGAGAGACCCTTTAAGAGGTCTGTGGATTCTTTGGTTCAGTCTTCTCATTTCTCTGCTGCCTCACCACTCTCCCTCTCTCTTTTTAACATTTCTCACCAGGGTATGGGAATATTGCTCCAAGCACTGAAGGAGGCAAAATCTTTTGTATTTTATATGCCATCTTTGGAATTCCACTCTTTGGTTTCTTATTGGCTGGAATTGGAGACCAACTTGGAACCATCTTTGGGAAAAGCATTGCAAGAGTGGAGAAGGTCTTTCGAGTGAGTACTGCATCTGTTTAAGCTCTAACCTTTGTGATCCATTTGGCTTTAGCCTGATAGGATCCGGAAGGAATTACCAGGGTATTATTACGTCATTGTCACGTCTAATGGAATAGTTTAAGTGTTACGGTTGTATTTTTTATCTTGGCCAATGGTAGTCCATAGTAGTGTGCCTAAACTGCCTTCTTGTGAGTAATTTCCTTCTTTAGAATGGTTAGTTTTCGTGGAATCATACCACGAGGGGGTTAAGTATGGATTTGCCAACACAGATTTTCTGAAGTGGTGAGGCATATGCAGTTTCTTATTTAAGATAGAAGATCGACTCCTTAGTGTGTTTGCAATAAAGTAGAGAATTATAAATCAACCCATTTTTTCCTGGAACTGCTTCACTCCATTTTATTTCCAAGCAGTGTCTTCAGGCTGATCCTGGCTTCTAAAACCTCTTCCAGAAGCCTAGGTTTTCCAGGCATTGCTTTGTGCTTCATGTCTGTCTCCTCATGGCCTCACCCTCTCTCTCCTTCCACTGCTGAGTTCTCCCTCAGCAGTAGTACACTAATATACTCATTCATACTATGGTGTTGATGATTGCTATTGTCTTAGCGAGTCTTTTCTCTTGAGAATACTTGCCTTTAAACAAGGGACAAATGTCTCAACTCAAGGAATTTATTTACTCAAGATGGTGTTCCTGGCATCAGTGACAGGCACGTGGAGTCTGTGTGACTGGTCTGGAGTTCCCATTACCCGTTAGCTCACGCCCATTTAACAGAACACTAGTCTTGCTTAGGTGTAAGGTCGTTTCTGTTCTCTTTCTCATTGTTGACCTAATTCTCATGTCTTTCAAGCCTTCTTCAGGGAATTATTTCTTATGATGGCCTTATATTTAAAAATGACAATTTGAGATCTTTTTCAGAACCTAGCGATCAGTGGTTAAGTTCTAAGGCTGTACTTGTTTCCCCCTCTGAGACAAGAAATCATGACATAAAGCTCTATTTAGAAGAATGCAAGGGGGCTCGCCTGTCGAGCAGTTTCAGAAATTCTATTAGAGTGAAGTGAAGGAATAAAGCACCAGATCTGGCTGAGAATCACCTTCTATAAGCTCAGTTCTCTTGGCTGAGCTGCCTCAGTTTACTCATTGGCAAAAGGGGATGGAATTCAAATTGACTTTAAAAGGTCTTGGTAATGATTAAATGAAATAATGTACAGAAAAGAGCTGGGCACAGGGCCAGACGCAGAGTTCAGTGCTGCTCTGCGTCTGTCTTCTGAAAGAAGCACTTGATGGCAGGCTAGCTACCCACTCAAATTTCGTGAGTTGCTTGGTGGCATGCTGGTTTTCCTGGAATGTCCCACAACCTTTACCCCGATGCACCTGGGCTCCGTGGTCACCATGGAAACCGTCAGTGCTCAGAGTCTCTGCTTCTCAGATGCTCAGGTCTCCCTAAACTAGACACGGCAACTCTGTCTCCAAGAGTTGTTTTGGAATTCTCAGAGGTCCCCTTTTAGCCATGGCCTCATGGCTTCTAACTTAGAGAAAAATGAATCTGGCGGATTGAACACTCAGAAGAATAGGATTCAAATGGAGAAATGACTGATCTGGCATTTTTATTTTTCTATAGCTTCTCTAGATCTGAGTTTATTTGTGGAAAGAAAGGATTAGACTAAAAGCTTTTGAAATCCCCCTTCAGCAAAAATAAAATTTCAGTTATGGTAGTTTAGCTGAGGGAAGAGGTTGCAATCATTTTGTATCTTCTACCAAATTTGGGGACTTCGTTCCCCTAATGAATTTCTGACTGCAGGTAGAAAGGACTGTTCTGGCCTCTCCAGTGGATGATTCACAGGACTCCGAGACAAAGCCTTCAATATCTCATGTTTCATTTTTCTGCTGATGGTCCCCTCACTTCCTTGCAGAGCCATCAAAGACTGGGAGTCCTTCAGGAAGGAGCCGGCAGGATATTATCAAATTGGCAGCACACGATGCTTGTATGTGCAGAATGTTGGAGGGTGCTGTTGGAAGGGATGTCTGCGCTCCAGAACAATTCTGAGCACACTTCCTGAATACATGGACAATGGATTCTGCAGTAGTTTGCTTGCTATGTGTCATTTTGGTAGAAAATCTCAAAGCTCTTTGCTATTCACATGAACTATATCTAAAAGGCCAGTTACTCTTAGGTGATTATTTGAGAACTGAAAATTGTATAAACCAACAAAGACTGGGGGTGTGAACTTTTAGTTCCCATGAGAAGGTTCTTTTTTTTTTTCACCTGCTTGCTCAATGATTAAGCCTTTTCCTTCATCTGGTGTGTTTTCTCTCAACTCTCGGGAAGAGGGGATTTTTGGCGGGGTAAAGATAAAATATACATTTTAATAAGCTTCTCAATTACACACATGAGGTGACGTGATTTGGGTTCTTCTTTTGAATTCCAGATCTGAGCCTCATTTTGTTTATTTTTTTTAATCTTTCATTTTTTTGAGCCTCATTTTAAAGAATTGCTGGGAATCAGTGTATTAATTAAGAGTGCTTTTGGCATTCTTAAATACTTGACTGTTGAGGTTTTTGTGAGGTATAATAAATGAAAACTTTTTTTTTCCCTCTGAAGTTCAGAAATAATTGAGAAGTAGGCGCCAGAGTCCGATCAGCCATCAGTCAGCTTTATTGCTGAGAAGCTCGTCAGAGCATGTCGCTTCAGCTCTGACACAGGAGGGACTTACCGACGACTTCACCCTGAATTAGAAGGATTTCCCTGCTGTATTAGCTTTCTATCTGATGTAACAAATTAATTCAAATGTAGATGCTTAAAACCACACTGGTGTATTATGTGTCAGTTGTGTAGGTAAGAAGTCTGGGCAGGCTTGGCGACAGTTTCATGATCAGGATAACACAAGGCTAAAATCAAGGTGTCGGCCAGGCTGGGCTCTGGATCTGGGGAAGGACCTATTTCTACAGCCATTCAGATCTTGGCAAAGAATAGTCCCCTGTGGTTGTAGGACTGAGAGTCCCATTTCCTCTCTGGCTGCCGGGTGGGGGCCATTCTCACCTTCGCGAGGTTGCCTGCTTTCCTTGGCACAGGGCATCTTCACCTTCAAAGCCAGCATGGAATCCTTCCTGCATCTCTCTGACTTCCCCTCTCCATCAGCTGAAGACAGTATCAAGCTTTTAAGGACTCGTGTGATTAGCTCAGGCCCACGTGGATAATCTCCCTGTTTTCAGGTCAACTGTGAACAGAACAGAAGAGAGTCACTGGAGTGATCAGACATCATATCACAGGTCCTGGGGATGAGAGTCGAGCATCTTCTTGGGTCATTTTAGAAAATCTGCCTCCCACACCATCTTGGTCATTGGTAGCACAGGCCTCCTCTCAGGGAGGGCAGGGTCAACTCCCCGACTTTGCTACGTCACAGAGAGCAAAACAGAGTGCACCGCTCTGCAACAGACGGTTTCAAACAAGAGAAGAAAGGGGCTGAGCTGAGGGAGCTCAGTCCCTTCTGCCAAGTCCACCAGTAAGTCGCTGTGCGGCTGAGCAGTGGGGGTGAGAGGCGTACAGTGTTGTTACGCTAGCTGGAGTCCTTCCACAGGGAACAGGAGGCCAGGAAAGCGGACATTGCCCCCAGGACTGATTTACAGTGGGTTAAGAATTGGACACGTTTCTCGCAAAGCAAGAAGCCCGGAGGAAGGTTGTTTTAAGTTTGGTGCATCAGTTTCCCAATGACAAGTTGAGGTTTCTGGCGCCATTTTCAAAGTGCAGATTCTTTCCCACACCACCAAGTAATTCTCTGATGCCAGCTGGGTGTCCTACGGTTCAGTTCAACTCTGACACCATCAACCGGGAGACAGCATCAGATCCCACAGCTGAGGGTTCAGTTCCACGAACCTGCCTTCCACCTTAGATGCCAGTTGCAAGTCCAGGTGGCTACCTGTGCTTCTAATGAGCGAGGATAAATCAGAGGTTCCCACAACACCTTCCTTGGGCTCAGTTAGTTTCTTAGAGCAGTTCACAGAACTAAGGAAACCAGTTTTCTCACGAGATTACTGGTTTATCACAAAGGCTATTTAAAGATATGAACCAAAAGTGAGATGAAGAAATATGTAGGGTGAGGTCCAAAACAGTGGAGCTTCTGTCCCCATGGAAGATGGGGCCTAGCGTGGTGACATGTGGAGTGTTCACCAACCTGGAAGCTCTATGAGTCCCCTCCCTGTTGGGTTTTTATGGGGGCTTCATTACATGGGCATGGTTGATTCAATCACTGTCCATTGGTGATTGAGTCAACTCCTAACCCCTCTCCGCTCCCTGGAAATTGGGGTTTGAGGGTGGGATGGGATGGGGTGGGGGTGGAACTGAAAATTCCAACCCTCTATTCCTGGCTGGTTTCCCTGGCAACCAGCCCCCATCCTTAGGTGAGCCCAAATTTACCTCATTGGCATAACAAAAGACACCTTCATGGCTCTCATCACAGGAAATTCCAAAGGCTTTGGGAGCCCTGTGCCAGGAATGGACCAGGACCAAATACATATTTCTTATTCTCAATCACAGTATCATACACATAGACCCAGGTTTGTTCTTTTTCTGCTCTGCTTTCCTTGACACGTTAGCTTTTCCTGCTCAGGCTTGTCATCATGTGGTTTGAAAGATGACTGTCTCAGGACCAAATGGCTTGTTTTCACTCAACCACATTTTGAAAAATTGTATTTATTTATTTATGTATTTATTTATTTTTATTGAGATATAGTTGATGTATAATGTCATATAAGTTGCAGGTGCACAGTATAGTGATTCACAATTTTTAAAGGTTCTACTCCACTTAGAGTTGTTACAAAACATGGGATCTCTTCCCTGTGTTGTGCAATATGTCCTTGGAGCTTATTTTACACATGGCAGTTGGTACCTCTTAATCCTCTACTCCTATCTTGCCCCTCCCCTCCTCCGTCTCCCCACTGTTTGTTCTCTATATCTGTGAGTCTGTTTCGTTTTTGTTATTTCACTAGTTGGTTGTATTTTTTAGATTCC